GGAAAATTTACAGCATTAAATTTATACATTAGCAAAAAGAAAGATCTCTAATAATCTAAGATCTTATTTTGAGAACCTAGAAATAGGAGAACAAAATAAATTTAAAGCAGTCAGAAAAAAGGAACTAATATAGGTAATGTAAAGAAATAAAACTGAGCATGGAAAAACAATAAAGTCAATGAAATCAAGGGCTGGTTCACCGAAAGATCAATAAAATTGACAAAATCCTACCTAGATCACAAAAGAAGAGTAGATATAAATTATCAACATCAGCAATGAAACAAAGAATATCTCTGTAGACATTGAAAGGATAATAAGGAAATATTATGAACAACTATAAACACAAATTTTATAAGTTAGACAAAATGGACCAACTTCTCAAAAACTCTAATCACGATACACCTAATATGAAATCTATAAGTTAAATAGCCCAATAAGTACTGAGAAAATTGAATGTGTAATTTTACAACTTCCAAAAAAGAAATTTCTAAGTTTAATTGGTTTCACTGGAGAATTCTATCAAATTTTAAAGAAGAATTAGTATCAAATCCTATATAATCTTTCCCAGACAACAGAGAGAGAATGCTCTTCAATTTATTTAGTGAGCTAACAATACACTAATACCAAAACCAGACAAAGAGTACAAAACTATATTCCAGTACCCCTCAAAAATACATTAAAATTCTTATCAAAATATCAGCAAATAGAATTCAACAATATAAAAAGAATTGTACACTATGGCCAAGGGAGGTTTAGTCCAGGGGTACAAGCCTGGTTTTAATTTAAAACTCAATCTATGTAACCTACCACATTAACAGGCTAGAGAAGAAAAAGCACATAATCCTACCAACTGATGCAAAAAGAATTTGACAAAATTCAAATCCCATCATTCACGATAACAAAACAAACAAAAAACCAAAAAACTCTGAAAGACAGGAATAGAGGTGAAGTTCTTCAACCTTATAAGGAGCGCCTACAAAAAACCTACTGCTAAGCTGTATTTAATTATGAAATACTGAATGCTTTCCTCTAAGATCAGACCACTCTCCCCACTCTCATTCAGCATAGTGCTGGAATTTCTAGCCAATGCAGTGAGGCAAAGAGGAGGATATAAAATTCATCCATACTGGAACTGGAAACAAAACTGTCCCTATTTGCAGATGACGTGATTATCCACATAGAAAATCCCAAGGTATCTACAAAACGAAAACCTCCTAGAACTAATAATTGATTATGTATTTGAGACTTTACTCTTTCCTAACGTATGCATTTAGTGCTGTAAATTTCTCTTCAGTAACGTGGAAACCACATGGGAACCACTGCTTCATAGGTAAAATGTTAACTGTGATGGAGGAACTGTTGGTGCTCCGTGTTGACAGCTTTGTGGGTTAAAAATGCCAGGGGTAACCAGTAATGGGGAGACCTTACTATTATATTTTCCTTCAGGAGCTTGACCAAATTCCCACAGTAAATGTCAGAAAAAAAACCTTTCTTCTGCTTCTAGCAGGGGAGGGGGAAAAGCCACTTTGAAGTCCATCAGAGCACTCTGTTCTTCCTAACAAGGCCTGCCCTCAGGGGAAACCCCTTAACCATAGTCTAACCTGCTGGGGTATTATATTATCAGAGGCTAAGTGACCCGGGACTGGAAATACCCAACTCTGGTCAGCTGTAGCCATCCTGTCCCACCTAAGGGGGAAGAAAAAAACTGAGAAACTCTTATAAGGTTTACAGTATGGATTATTAACTCACTGAAGAGTAAGACCTAATCCTAGGTTAGGTGACCTAATCACAGAACAATTTCCCTCTCCTTAAAAATAATTTCTATTTAATAAAAAATGAATCTCAACCTAAACTTTATACCTCATATAAAAATTGACTCAAAACAAATCAAGCACTTAAATGTAAATTATACAAATAAACATTTTTAGAAAAAAAAATTACAGGAGAAATATTCAGGATCTGGGGTTACACAAAGAGTTCTTGAATTTCACACAAAAACCATAATCCATAATGGGAAAAATTAAGAAATTGGATTTCATCTAAATTACAAGCTTTCATTCTGTGAGGGATCCTCTTAAGAGCATGAAACAATAAGCTCTAGACTGGGATAAAAGATTTACAAATTACATATCCAACAAAAGACTAGTATCTAGAATATATAAGAAACTCCCAAAATTCAAATTAGAACCAGGCAAAAGAAATAAAGAGGACATGCAGACAGGACATAAACTCAGGAAAAAATTTCAAACAGCATTGGCTATTAGGGAAATTCATATTAAAACCACAATGAGATATCATAACACACATACCAGAATGGCTAAAACAGAAATAATGACAACACCATTTGTTGGCTAAGATGCGGAGAAACTGGACCATTCATATATTGCGGGTGCAAACATAAAATGGCACAATCACTCTGGAAAGCAATTTGGAAACTTCTCTAAAAAAAAAAAATATCTAAACATACAACTACCATATATCCCAGCAATTGCATTCCTGGGTATTTATCCCAGAGAACTTAAAACCTCTGTTTAAAAAAAAAAAAAAAACTGGATGCAAGTATTTATATCAACTTTCTTTGCAATGGACAAAACTTGAAACAATTCTGATGTCTTTCAATTGATGAATAAACTGTGGTAGATCCATACCAAGGAATAATACTTTGCCCCCCACCAAAAAAAAAAAGAATGAAGAATAAACTATTGATACATGCAGCAACCTACCTGAATTTCCAGAGAATAATGCTAAGAGAAAAAGCTAAAGCTAAAGCTTAAATACTATGTGATTTAATTTACACAACATTCTTAAAATGACAAAGTTTTCGACATAGGGATCAGATTAGTCACTGCAGAGACTTTGGGAGTTATGGTGGGGGTAAGGAAGTAGGTGTGGTTTAAAAATTATAGCATGAGGGATCTTTGTTTCAATAGAAATGTTCTTTACCTTCCGTGCCTCGGTGTCAATATCCTGGTTGTGATATTAAACTATAGGTTTGCAGTATGTTAACCAGTGGGGGAAACTGCGTAAAGACCAGTTTCTCTGCATGAAATCTGTGGAGTTTTTCTGTATTATTTCTTAATACTGCATGTGAATTTACAATAATCTCAAAGTAGAAATTTTAATCAAAAACAATTTTTAAAGCTGTGATGGTTATTTTATGTGTCAACTTGACTGGGCCTCTGGATGTCCAGACATTTGACCAAATGTTCTGGGTGTATCTTTGAGGGTGTTGCTGGATAGAGATTAACATTTGAATTGGTAGACTGAGTAAAGCAGATTTCAGTTGCTAAAATAGGTGGGCTTCATTCCAACAACCAAAGACCTGAATAGAGCAAAAAGACTGAGTAAGAAGGAACTCTTCCTGCCTGACTGCATGCACTGGACACTGGTCTTTTCTGGTCTTAGGACTGGGACAGAAACATCAGCTCTCCTTGACTCACAAGAAGAGCTGGTATTCGGACTAGAAGTACATCACTGGCTCTCTTGGTTCCAGGGTCTTTGGATGGACTGGAACTACACACTGGTTCTTCTGGGTCTCCAGTTTGCTGACTGCAGGTCTTGGGACTTCTCAGCCTCCATAATTGTGTGAGCTAATTCCTTATTTTTATATATAATATTGGTTCCATTTCTCCGGATAACCCTGACTAGACTAATAAAAAAACTATTAGGGGACCGTTTCAAGTATACAACTTAGGTGTGGAAAGGAAGTTTGCATATCACTTTTTATTGACATTCACATAGAAGAAAGAGAGAAATTAGAACATTCTCTTTAGTTTATCAACATTGTGCATACGTGTTTGTGTGTGTGTGTGTGTGTGTGTGTGTGCGCGCATATAAAGCCTAGTAACAGATGTTAGTGGTGTGGAAGCAGAGGCAGATAACAGGAAGTGGATTTCAATTAATAAAACACACAACCAAAGAAACTTAAAATAAAAGAGGGCAATTGATCCCTCTTAAATGAATGCCTGTGTTCATTTCCTATTCAGATCAGCATGTGGTAATTTTTATTTGTCAGTAAAAATCAATCAACCTCCACTTAAAAAGGTATTTTGGGTCATCAATATGATTCAAGTGGTATTCTATTTTAGAAGAGTCATTTCTTTTTAAAGATGTTTTTAATATTCATGATTTGAACATTTAATTATGGTTGATATTAAATAAAAAGAATGAGAGCACATTTTGACTTGCAAAGTTTGTAGCTCACTAAGAATTCGTTAGGCCATACTTAGTTTAGGAGTCAATCTTCAGTTTATTGAAATTCAGGAAAAGCCTATTTAACTATATATAAACCTAACTGTAAAACTTTTTGAACTTTTTTTTCACTAAGACAAGACTATTGTCTACAGCTCTAATAAAATGAGTCCAATTTATACTTAAGCACTGTTCTTATTTCTTATAAAAATTTAACTCAAACCTTCACACACAATTTCCACATAAATCATAAGATACCAAACTCAGGTTTTCTTGAAAAATACTGGTAAAAGCGGTTTCAAAGTCAGAGAGATTCGGATTCAAATCATACACCCCTACCTACTATGGTCAGTATAATGACTGTAACACAAAATAACTACTATTCGTTTTGAGTGTCTACTGCATGCCAGATAATTTATATATAGTATCTTATTTTACCCTCATGACAGTTCAGAGATGAAAATATAGCTGGTTGCATTTTATAGATACAGGATCAGACTCAAACTTGTTATAAGGCCTTGGACAATTACCTACATTTTCTTAATTTTAGTCTTCTCACTAATGAAATCGAGAAAACTATACCTACCTTACTGTTACGAATTTTAAGCAGGATAATATATGTAATACATCAAGCTGTTAACCTAAGAGTCACTAAACAATGTGATCGCCCTTCAATTTTAATTAAAATAATATTCAGGTTCACTTCATACACAGAAGTAAGTCAGGATCACTCAGATAAAAGTCAGAGTATCCAAGATGTGGCTGATCAGAGTACAGTGTTAGATATAGATTATAGATTGAGTGTCAGATACAGATTACCTGATTGAGTCAACTTCATATGCACCAATATTTCCACTTTAAAGAAGAGATGTGTGAAGAAACAAGCTGTTCATTCGGGACTTTATTTTTCAGGCAGAGCAAGTTTCTTTCTTTTGGTACGCCATCTGTAAGAAATGATTGACAAGAAATGGCATTGTACCTTGCACATTTATCAAATTAAAAATAATGGAGAAGTCTTGGATTTGGATTCATATTAAGATAAAACAAAATTTTTAAGCTTCCCAAGATTTGAATCAAAAGACTTTTCATGCTTTAACATTCAGAGCAGCACTAAATGACTCCCCTGGGCTCACTGCTAATTTTAAAGCTATTAGACAAAAGGGCTGGATTTCAAGGGAGGTATGGTACCGAATTCATTCTTTTTCCTTTCCAGAGGAAAACCCATAAGGCTTCAAGATTTAAAGTCTGTCAGCTCAACAGACCATGACAAGACTTGAGTCTTCTTGATAAATACAAAAAACACATTAAGAAGCTGTTTGATGGGGCTGTGTAGGGAATGGCTTTGAGTGAATCTTTGATTATCTAAGACATCTAATTCCTAAACAAACAAAATCTCTTATTTATCTCCATATTTTGAAAGATAGCTTAAGAACACTGTGAAAGATATTTTCAAATTCATTAGCTGGATCTCTAATTACTGACATTCTACATAGTAACATACAATATCGTCTAATGACATAATAATATGCAATTTTTATATCATTATTTTTCCACCAATTGGATAACCAGTGTGTAACTTTTTGATCTTAACAAATAATTTAAATGACTTTTCTATCTATAATATCATATAATATTGCTTACATAAACACGATGCATTATAGGTGAGGTGATACTGCACACTTGGCTTTAAATTATTATTAATATTATAGAAGTCACTGTAATTTGAAATGTAAATTAATATCAAGGGGATTCTCTATCTGAAGGTAATTAATGAAGTTTTTTTACTATAATAATTTATTTTGTATGTCTTTCAAAGTACAGTTATTTCAGCTCAAATAAAATGGCAAGAAAATGTGGTTTTAATCACATAATTAAGAACTGAGTCTGTGATTTGAGCAATGCAAGCTAATAAGAATCAAAATTATTTTGTGATCCCCCCCCGCCGTCTTGCCTCTCTGGAGATTTTAGACAACGTGCCTTTGTACTAGATTTGTATTGGAGATTCCCACAGTGGGAAGACATAAGGGATATTCTAGTTAATGTGAATGATCTTGTCTTTGTCACTGAAGATTCTATTTGTTTCTGAAATATGTAGGCACATTGAATAGACTGATCATGGTAAATCTGGCTGAGGAGTGTCCAGAAAACAATAGCAAAAGAGTCCCTTGCACACAGAGACAAAACCAAAACAAAGCCAAAAAAGAAAGAAATATTAGCTTATGGGAAATTACTGGGTATTTCCTCCTAGGTAGTCATTGTCTTTATAGGGCCATCAGGGTATTACTGGCTTCATTACCTTTAATTTCCCATAGCAGTGATTCATTCATATTCCCTGTTCCATCCTGAGATGAATGGCATGAATCAGAGAGATGCCTTGAAGTATGATTAGGAAAGCCTTTGCCCACGAACACAGTGACATGTTCCTTGAGGGACTGAACTCATGTCCTTAGCCTCTTCAATATTAGACTCCAAAGAACCTTGATAACTGACCAAATATTACCTTCCTACAAAGTTAATTAAACAATTATTTCCTATAAGACCTTACAAAGACTCCTTATAGCTTCATTTGTCCTCAAAGCCCTCTGAATCTGATGACAAATTTTAAGAATATTACATGTACTAACATTTCCCTTTAATTCTGACAAGTGATATACTTCATTCTAGGCTTTGGCCAGGTAAAAGGCAGTCAGATCACCATTTTTAGGATTTTTTTTTTAAAGACCAAAATACTTCTTATGCTAGGTAATTTTTCCTTAGTGTGCCTTTATTTTCTTTACTTCAAAATAAAAAAATTTAGAAGATACTGTTTCCTAATAATTGTAATATTCTTTCACTGTCTTTTTTTCTTTGTCTTTCAGCAGGCATTTTGCATCTGTTGGGCTCAAATTTACATAGGGGTGTGTGTGTGTGTGTGTGTGTGTGTGTGTGTGTGTATATATATTCTATATATACATATATGTGTATATATATAATCTATTCTCTGGATCACCCTGACTCGTGTAAATGCTAAAAAAATATAAATGTGTTTGTGAACTCCAAGTATTGTTCCTTTATTGTATTAATTCTTTTTCGTATCCTATTTTCTTCCTATTCTTTTCCCTCTTTCTCCTCCTTCTACTTCTTTTTTGTAAAGAACAACATGATTTTGTCATGGAAAGTAACCTCATGGTTTTTTTCTCATAAAATCTCCATATGTTTATTTCATTACTTATCCTCTAATGCTTTCCTTTTATAGCAGAGGTAACATTTATATCCTATATTTATATGCTATATTTTACCCTTTAATTGAATAAATTATCATCTCAGTCTCTTTTAAATCTTCAGTCAAATATTTATCTCTAGTCCTGAAATTTTTTCCAAACTGCATTTCTATGCTACATTCATATGAGGGGAACTATGATTTTCTGATATGTAGTTTCTTCTGTCTCAAATGGAAAGTTCCTATCTGCCTTACCTAGTTCCCATATAGTTCTATTGCAGGATTCTAATTGTAGGCAGGAAGTCTTCAGTAAACTGCCCATAAAATAACAAGGTACAAGCTTATTTTGCATTGACATGGCCAGCTCATCCATCTGGAAAATCTTAGGTCTTCTCTAAATTTTGATCAAGACCCCTGCCACCAGCCCAAAAGGGAGGTCCTAATAATTTTGGATCTTATTTTTTATTTTCATGGATAGGTGCTTTATCACTCTGGGATGGTTGACAGTGACTAAAATTAAAGAAAGACCCTGAATATTTTCTACTAATCTATTCTCCTAAATAAAATAAAAATCTTAGTACTACTATAGGAGAATTTCTATACTTATATTTGTTCACATTTTTTCTGATGCACTGACATTTCATAACAATATCATCATCTATAAATTTTAAATTGTCTCAAGATAAAAAGCTGAATAAAAAAGAATTTTGACACTTTCCAAGAAACTATTTTGATAAAATTAAAACACAACCAAAACTAGTTTTCAGGTTTATTTTGTCAAACAATAATCAGTGTCAAGGCTACAAAGAACAAAGAGCTTTATTTAGGGTCTTAGGAATTGCAATTTGGGAAACACAGATTTGGGTAAAACCGAAAAAGTGTTCTGGGGAAGAGAAAGGGTCAGGGGCTTATTAAAACAAATCCATAACGTTATTAAAGTTGTCTGGCAAGAATTATGACTGCAAGAAAGGAAATATTTGTCCTTAAGGGATCGGCTGTCACAACCTATTTTAGGGTAAGGGTCCACTAAGTATCTTGAATTTCTAGAACATTGGGCTGGTGTTCTGGGTGCCTGAGGTAAGACAATAAGTGGTCAAAAGATCATATTCCATCTGGGCTGAGACGTGCCTAATCCTACTTCCTCAATGGCCTCCCGGATCCATTTCAGAGAGTTCTCTTAGCAATACTGACTCCACTTGAATTTCTTTCACAGTATTTAATAAATCACTTCAGCCTCTGAACTAATCAGAATGTGTCTTGGGTGACAGATATTCCTAGTTCAAACCATTATGATGAAGCAAGTCACTGATGAAAGAGGGGCTATTAGTCTTTAAGTCTTCCTAAGGAAAGCTATTTCTCCTTTTTTTTCTTTGGTATCCTCAACAAATAACGTGATCTGTAAATATATTTAAAGGCATAACTCAAAGCTTTCCCATTCCTCATGCCTACTTCACAAGTCTTTCTCTATTCTACTTTATTCTACATACTATGCTAAGTTGAGAAATTAATCAAAGACCCAATCTAAAATCAACTCAAAACCTTTAATATATTTGCTAATCACACTTTCTTTGGACCATCAAAGATAATAAGGTAATTGAACTTGCAATAGAACTTACTTATTTCCAAGAGAATGGAAAGTTTCAGATTCACTAGACCAAATCCTTCATTCTCCAAACAATGAAATTGAGACACAGAAGGCTCAGGTTATACTTTTAAATTTGGTAAAGTCAATATTAGAGGCCATTGTCTTTTGCTTCTAAGCCTTTATACTTTTACGTAACTTACTACACTCTGCAACACGAGGTATTTATCAGGAAAACAAAAGACTCTGTATCGTACTTTTTAATCAAATAACTAGGAGCCAATTACCTGATTATTTCTTGAAATAGAATATTGTTCCACAGTTTTATAACTCTGTTAAAGTTAATAATTAAAATTCCTTAAAAGCAAAATTGAATATTTGCCAATTCAAGTTCTGATTATGTTAATTTAAATTACGAATGCATTTTTTAGTGTTATGATGTATTTTTAAAACATTCTCATAGATAGAGTGTAAAGATTTGGAGAAAAGATAAGTATACTTCAAATGGTAATGCATTTCACATTTTAATATAATCCTTTAACCCAATACATTTATCTTTAATTCCTTCATGATCTTTTAAAAAATAAGTCGATGGTGTGTTAATAATAAAATAGTTTAATTGCTTACAGGTTTGTATGTTTTAAAATTGGATTTTCCCATATTTCAAAAGCATTTCTTTCATAACTCCTGTTACGAACATAAGGACAACTTGTGCAAGTAATTAAGAGAATGGAAAGCACGTACATTTATTTACATTCTAAGAACATTAAATTGAATGAATTGTACATCTGGCTTATATGTGACCTTTGGAAAAATTCACAGTGAAGCAAAGCGGTCAAGAAGAAAGCTGTTTTTCAACGTGATGTAATTCTCAAGGTTATGTAATACTTTTAACATATGAATAATTTACTTAAATAAAAACTGGCATTCTCTCTTTCTGTACAATTTTGAGTCCTTTAGTTACAATTATACTTAGCTTTGGCCTCTCAAGCTGCCAGTTAAGAAAAATTCAGTCTTTGCCTGACTGATTCCTGATACTTTACGTGGCTGAATCGAATAAGTTGGAGAGTTGGGAAGTTACCCAGCAAGCTCAATAAGAGAAAAAGAGAGAAAGAGAGAAATAGGGTAGATATAGGAGAGGACACAGATTTATAGAAAAGGAA